TAAACAACTTTATAGCTGTTTAAAATAGGTTATTATGATTTTATATAGTATGTAGGATTTAACCATTTTTTTAAAATAATTTGAAAAACAACTCATTAAAGAAAATTAAATTTAAATTCACTACTTTAGAAATCACATTATTTAGTTTTATTTTATAATTTTTTTAATGACTTTAATTATTTTTAAAGAAAAGATATTTAACTTCGTATATTCACATATTTTAGCATGTTTTTATAATTTTTTTACATTTTCATATGATTTTTTTTTAAATATAAAATTCGAACTCCAAAAAACCTCATTGAAAACAAATTTTTGAAAATAAATTTCTTAAAAGATATATAAAAACAAAGTTGTAAAAGTATTTAAAACAAACAACTTTATTTTATAAAACAAAAGGAGTTCGTAAAAAAAATAAAACACAAAGTTATGAAAAAAGAAATTAAAACGTAAATATTAAATTCATAATAAAGATAAACTTTGGATATAAATTTGGAAAATGAATTGTTAAACAACTGATACTATATAATATCTACTTGTTTATAATTTATACTTTTTTAACAATACGAAGAATCAATATTGAATTGAAGATACTAATAAAATAAATAATGAAGCATACATTTTAAAGAAATAAGTTTATAAATAAATTAGTAAATCATAATAATAATAAATATAAAATATGAATAAAACATACTAACAAAGAATATAAATAGGTTATGATAGTTTAAGGGATTCAAATGTAAATTTTTGAAATGATAAAAGTAAATATTAGTGATTGTGTACTGCAAATGGAATGTAAAAGATCCTATTTTTAAAAAGCTAACTAGTAACGATCCTATTTTGGCGTAAACTCATTATAACATACATTCAAGATATATATATATCTTTACTATCTTATAAAAGAAATCTAACTATTTCTAAAAATAGATTGATTATAATAATAATATTTTTTTAAGACGTTCAAATGATGAAGCTGATAGTACAAGTAATCATTAATAAAATAATATTAAATTTTAACCATATTTTGAATTCAAATATTTATCATCAAATCTCCTTATATTTCTCAACAATTTGATATGGTTTCCTCAAATCTCGGATTCATTCAAATTTTGAACCCCTTTAGATATCCTTAAATTTAGCATGTTGATTCAAATATCCCTCCAATCGCATATACCTCTTTGCTCCCTCCTCTACTATAAAGTCCACCGTCCAGGAACAAAAAATGACTTCATTTCCCAAATAACACCATAGTTTGATTATTTTGTCTTCGACGTGTACTTTCTTTTGTAACATAACATTTTTGTAGAGGAAACATATCACTAAAAGAATTTGCACGCCCCGCCGCTTTGCGCGGGTGCACTGCTAGTATATATATATATATATATATATATATATATATATATATATATATATATATATATATAGTATATATATATATATATATATATATATATATATATATAGAGAGAGAGAGAGAGAGAGACAAAGAGAGAGAGAGAGGGAGAGAGAGAGAGAGAAAGAAGAAGAAGAAACTTTTGCTTATGTTCTTACACGATAAAAGAATACTAAAAGATGAAATATGACATGGTTTAAGATATTACCTCTATATCAATTTGGTCGATAAATAACTTAATTTGTTAGGATTTATAATAGTAGAACAGATTCAGGGCACTATGCACCAAATCACTTATCAATTTCTTCTTTTCTTTCTCACTGTTTACTTACTACTGTTACTAAGAAGTAATTGCAGATCTTTAACTAGAATTTTCTTAGCCGACATAACATACATTATTGCACTTGGGATGACTTAACCATAGAAGTTCAGCTGATGATACGATTACTTTTGTTGCTTTAGCTTAATTTCTTGATCAGTTTATTCTTTCTTCCCCACTTTGGACAACTTAAGGGATCTGTTACTATCTCATATTTTAGAGATACATACATCACTATTGCCATTTCATCATATTTTTGGTGTCATAAGTTATCAGCCAGATAGTTTCTTGAACATAAGACACTAAACAGCAAGAAGAAGCCCTATGTAACTAAAAATCATTGGGATAAAGATGAAATCTTGGAAACCTTCACCAAAAAGTGTCAATCCAGATCATATTCTCCCATTTACCAACAATTGCTACATTGTAGATGAATCAGCATGGAAAACAAAAAGCCTTAACAGTAGTAATTGCTTTCACAAACGGTGCTCTACAACACTGCAAATCAGGATATTGGAAATGAAGGCGAGTGCTTTTGAGGATTGAGTCTAGGAGACTCTATGTTTTACTTACACTATAACTAACCATCATGGACTTTATCATAAAACAAATCTACTTGAAACAAGTACTAAGATAAATGAAACTCCAGCAGAACAGGATGCAAAATCGAGCACAAAGATAGCTTCAGTCATTGAGAATCCTTCACAAAAGAATCCTATGTACCCTAATCTTCTGCTAAATGATGAAGAGCACCAATCTGACTTTTTTTGTACATATTGTTTAATGAAAACTGCTCAAAACATATGCATAACTGATAAAATAGAGCATGGGCATCTTAATCCTAGCAACTCTCTTGTTAATCTGAAGGCTCAAGTTCTAAAAAGCTCAAAAAAAAAAAATATATGTGGAGGCAGTAGAATGAAAGGTGCATTAATCTAATCAATAGTAATCATATGGAAGCACAACCACACATGAACTTCTCAGAAACTACTGCACTCCTAATTGGCTAATTCCCCCACATGCATATTATATATTATAACTGTGTGTATGGATTAATAGAGTTAACAGAACATTAACTTGCCTCGGATTTAATGGAGAGATCAATATCCTTTAAGTCATTGGATGATAAAGAGAAAATGGATAAAAAAGAAGAGAGAAGAATGTTACCTGGTAGGGATGTAGATGATTGAGAAAAATCTACCAGTTGATGAGGCAGGAATTGAACGACAAAGCAAATGAGAGTGAGAGGAGCTCCGATCGATAATGGCGTAAGTGATTTGAAGAATGATGAATGTGATCGGCTAGTTAAATTTGATCTGATTTTTTACTTTTTGTTTTCATTAATTATTTTTATTTATTTAGTCCATTAAGTAATTACCAAATAAACAATGCAATTAGAAGTTTTCCTTTTTTTTTTTTTTTTTTTTTCTTTTAATTAGTTCCCGTTCTTTTTAATTCTCGTCACCCATAACAATTAATTGACTTCATCCCGTAAGTATCTTCCATTAACAAATCGTCAATTAAATGATTTGAGTCTACTAGTCTAATTAAATTAGTAGCGATTATTTATTTCTTTCTATTAACAATTCAAGCGTTATGAATGTTGCTTAAATCTTGAAGATGTTTCAATGATTTTGATCGTATAATCATCTGGGTGATACCCAAGTTTGAAATTCTTGAAATTGTGCTTAAAAGGTAAAGATTTTATATAGGAATGATACCGACTATATATGAACGTTTTTATGTGTTTTTTTCAAAGGAAAAGTTAACGTTGAACACATTAGAGTTCAACATGTCAGTTCCAACACCATATGTGTTCTTGAAAAGATTTCTGAAGGAAATGTCGTTTTACTTGATGGAACTTTTCCTTGTGGAATACGAAATGATCAAATTCACCCCCTCATTTTTGGTTGCAGCTTCTGTTTACAAACTGAAACATTATTGAAACAAACGTTATGCCGCAATTCCTTCAACCGTTTTTTTTTTTTTTTTAACTAAAAAATCAATATAAAACATTTTTATTTTTTATTTTTTTTAGAAACAGGTAGTACAATAGAGGGTAAATAAATTTTGATTTAGAGGTAATAATTTCCAAAGCTGGGATAATATTATTATAAGAAAACTAGCAAATGTATCTCATCAAATCTAAAAATTGAAGCTATAATGTAGAAATTATGTTATAATTAAATTTTCAAAAAAATTATAAATAATATTTTATTTTGTTGTTGAGTTTTCAAAGATAATTGTGTATTTTTAATATATTTTTTCAATAATCTTGTATATTTTGTTACAGAAACATATTTCGTAACTACTTGCCGACCGAATTTTCCGTAGCTAACCATCTACAGATTTTGATTTCGTAGCTATTTTGCAAATTCACATTTTTGTAACAAGTTTCATAGTAGATTAGCTACAAAATTTTATTTTGTAGCAAATTTTCCTAACAGGTAGCTACGGATCTCAATTCCATAGCTAAATAGCTACGGATTTTTATTTTGTAGCCAATTATGTAGCCAAATAGCTACATACATGGATTTTGTAACAAGTTTCGTAGAAAACTAGCTACAACAAAAAAAACTTGTAGCATTATTTGTAGTAAACTAACTACGAATTTTAATTTCGTAGCAATTATTCAAGATTTAACTACGAAATGCAATTTTGTAGCTATTTCCGTAGCAAATTAATTACACCTAACCATTTTGTAATATATTCCGTAGTAAAATAACTATGAATTTAGATTTCATAACAATTTTACGTAGCTATTTAAGATTTAGCTACATAATGCAATTTCGTAAGCATATATGTAGCAAAATAACTACGACAAGTTGTTCCGTAGCATATTCTGTAGTAAAATAGCAACGGATTTTGATTCTATAGTAATTTTCCGTAGTTATTTACGATTTTTCTTGTAGTGAGAGAAAGTAAAACAAAAAAATTTAATGAACGAACGAATTATCTTTTTTATTAGTATAATTAACCAAAACACGAAACTAAATTATTTATGTATAATGTAATTTCAGCAAACCTCTAAGTGACACTTGCAATCCACCAGCTTCCTTTGAGCACACTCTCAAGCCCTTTATCTTTTCCTTATCCACACTCTTAGTCAGCTTGAACAAAAAAAAAAACAAATAATTTAGAGTTGATTTATATTTCCAAATCACGATTGCTGTAAAGGGAAGATACTACTTTAAAAAAAAAAAAAAAAAAAAAAAAAAAAAAAAAAAAAAAACAGTAAAATATATCATGTTTTTGAGATATCCG